CTTCTTCCAACAAGACAATGCGCCATGCCACGGTGCTTGTATTGTGCAGGAGTGGTTTCAGGAACATGAGGGAGACTTTACCTTGCTTAGGTGGCCCCCACAATCACCAGATCTCAATCCAATTGAGCATTTGTGGGACGAAGTTAAAAGAGCCATCAGGCAGCTGGTTCTACAACCATCAAATCTCACAGAACTGGACAGTGCTATTCATCAGGCATGGTGTCAGATTCCTTGCATCACCTTTCAACATCTCGTGGAGTCAATGCCAAGAAGAATCACCACAGCATTGAAGGCAAAAGGTGATGGGGTGGTCATAATAATCTGGCCACTCAGTGTATATATATGGAGAAAACACCACAGAACAAACAGATAAACCAAAAAATGCAAACACCAAACACTCAGAAAAAAGGGTGGGGGCAGAATCTGTAGAGGCTGAGCTTATATACAGGAAATAAGGTTAATGAATTGGATAAATATGGGGTGGACCTCAGCTCAGTATAGAGGAAGTATGAAGAGGATGAGTAGATAAGAAGAAAGAGAAAGAGAAAGTAGAAAAAAATTTAAAAATTAATTAAAAAATAGGATAAAATAAAAATAGAAAAAATAGAAATATAATGATGAAAAATAATGCGGGAAGAAATAAAAATAAAGAAACAAACAAAAAATGGAAATACAGAAAAAAGAAGAAAAAGAGAGATAACAAAATAATAATAAAATAAAAATGAAAAAGTTAAGTGTCCACCAAGTTTTAATGCCCCATGGCGGCTGTTTAAGATCCCATTCTTCTGTACTGTCTGCCACTTCTCAGTTTCCTGTTAGATTGTTGAAGTTCCAAGCAGTCCACTGTCCTCTGTTTGTGACTATTTCCACAGCCTTGACTACCAGCTGGCAGGATCAATCTTCCCACTTAGCTTGTCTGCCCACTTTCAATCTTAATCTCTCAAGTGGCTGTTTCTGACAGGGCTATAGTTGGGGAGGTTGCCGTATGGCTTTCAGGGACTGAAGGGTCTCTCAGATTTTTTTTGTATCCTTTGTAGCACTCAGGGTGTAGTCTGGGTATTGCGATATTAGTTGTCTGGAGACTGCAGGGAGGGGCTATCTCTTCAGGAGATAATGGCTGCCTAGGTCTAGCACGTCAGGTATGACTCAATGCCAGACTCCTGGCCACCTCTCCCTGAGTGGTTCCTCTCCCCAGCCTCTCCCCAGACTCCACAAGTCTGCACCTCAGCCATGGGTGAGTGTTTGTATTTGAAAGGTCCTATGAACTGGGTTTAGCGAATAAAAGCAAAGACCAATGAGGGGAAAGAGCTGTGCCACTGCGAACCCCTCTCCCCCCCGGCATGGTGTGGCTTGGGCAGTTGTTCAGGCTACCCCCTCAGGGCTCAGCCTCTCATGACTGTGGGCTTAGATGTAGAATCCCCTGCGGCCAGCTGCCTTGTCCCAAGGGACGTGGATTTCGTGCCGTGTGGCTTCCTTCTGACCCTCTGGGCTTGGAAGTCTTGTAATTCTCTCCAGCCCAGATCCCTGATTTTACCATTCTCCAGGAGTCCTCTCCCCTTCCCGGCTGTGAATTGTCTCATCAGCTGTGTCTACTTCACCAATTCAGGGTGGATGTTATTCAATTTAGTTGCTCCTATATGCTCCAGGACAAGGCTCGGGACACGCCTGCCTATTCCACTGCCATTTTGTTTCTCCTGAAACTTAGCTTTAATTCTGTCAGAAGGGTGGCTTCTATTTAAGAATTCTAAAGGAATTTTCTCCCTCTTCTGCATGGCACCAATATTAAGGCAGGCAGTTCTCTTGCTGCTTTCTTAGTTCTGATTTATCCTTGTTCTGAGACTGTAATCTCCTGGGGTCCCAGCTTCATAGAGTCTCTATGTCACTCTTCATAGTAGGTGTATCCTGGGTTTTCTTTCTTCCCTCCTACATCCCGAGTAGCTGCCAAAATGGGAGCACCTCGTCCCAGATTCAATAGATCTGCCTGTGTACTTCTTGGGTTCCGGTTTTCAGTAATGTTTTGGCTTCTGTGTGTTTGTCAGCAGCTATGCTTCATCAATGCCCGTGAAAGGTGTGGAGGAAGGCAGGAGAAGGGAACAGATCAGAGCCTTGACCCACTTTGACCAGAACTCTTTCATTTGCTTCCATTTACAAGTAGGGTTATGGTGTCACTCTACTTAAAAACCGCTGAAATGTTGAGAACCTTCAATTGGAGTCATCTTAAAGGTCCTGTTTGTGGATGAAAAGAGGTCATAAATCTGACAAGCTCAGGAGAGGCTTGCATCACAACCCTGCAGACTCAGAGATCTAAAATCCTATCTAATAATAGACAAACATGGTAATTAACCATACCTCCGCTACACTTTCCATTGGCTAATCAGCAGGATATGCAAATTAACTGCCAACAAAGATGGCGGCCGGCAGCCACGCAGCTGAAGCGAACATGAGGCTTGCTTGCTCCAGTGATGGAGGAAGCCAAGGTTCCCCGCCTGCTGTGGCTGGGATCTGAGCTCCGGATGCAACAATGTTGCAATTATAGAAGCTAAACAAACCCCAGATACCTGCTTTCAGCCACAGCGGGCTCAGAGCTTAGAGCGCCAGTGATGGTAACAGAGTTTCAATTATAGAAGCTAAACAAACTCAGATACCTGCTTTCAGCCAGCCACGGCCTCAGAGCTGGAGCCGGCTCTCAGCTCCAGTGACAGCTATAGAAGGTAAATAAATCTCAGAATAAAAAAAAGAAAAAAAAAAAGAGGCTGGGAGCTTCAGTCGCCCGCCAGCCTGAAAACGGCCCTCAGCCCCTCACCAGACTGGCCAGGCACCCCAGTGGGGACCCCCACCCTGATCCGGGACACCCTTCAGAGCAAACCAGCTGGCCCCCTCCCGTGCACCAGGCCTCTATCCTATATAGTAAAAGGGTAATATGCAAACTGACCCTAACAGCAGAAAGACTGGGAATGACTGGTCACTATGACACACACTGACCACCAGGGGGCAGATGCTCAATGCAGGAGCTGCCCTCTGGTGGTCAGTGAGCTCCCACATGGAGGAGCTCTGCTCAGCCACAAGCCAGGCTGATGGCTGCCAGTACAGCAGTGGTGGTGGGAGCCTCTCCTGCCTTCTCAGCAGCGCTAAGGATGTCCGACTGCAGCTTAGGTCTGCTCCCCTCTGGCAAGTGGCCATCCCCCAAGGGCTGCCAGGCTGCCAGAGGGATGTCTGATTGCCATCTTAGGCCCAATCCCCCGGGGAGCAGGCCTAAGTCAGCAAGTGGTCACCCCTGAGGGGGCCCAGACTGCGAAAGGGCACAGGCCGGGCTGAGGGACCCCCTACCCCCAAGTGCACAAATTTTTGTGCACTGGGCCTCTAGTAACTATATAGGATGTTCTGAAAGTAAAACTTTTTAATTAAGAGTAGTGCATAGTGGGTAGTCATATCCTAAGGCAGTATTCTTCCCTGGCGAAGGTCAGTCTTCACCTTAGCTAAGTCTGTCTATTGTCTTTTTGTGTCTAGGATAACATGCCTAATAAACATGCCCTTGCAAAAACAATGTAATTTCCCTTTTTCAGACCCCCTCAGAGCACAGACACCACAACAGAGCAAAGACTACAAATCCCCTCATTGTCATTATCATGTTAATTGTTGACCGATAATTGTCCTGTACCCACCTGTGTAAAGGAGGTATGTGGGTATTGTTTTACTTTTTATCCAATCTCAGAAGTTTCTCCACTTTGCTTTCTCCCTCCTCCCCAATCTATTGCCAATGGATTTCATGTAATCCACTTACGTCTTCTCTTTTGATTATAATGTGTAAAATAAGATACAGAATTGCCATTTTCTGGAGCATTTTCTCAATCCATTGAAGTTTTGCTTCCCAGCAATTGTCATCAGTTTGGCTCAAATAAACTCATAAAATTCTCTACAGGCTTGAATGTTTCTTATGTTGACATGTTCTACAATTATTGTGCAGTTTTGAGGATCTGGCTATAAATGGATGCTGATACATTGAACTTTAACTTTCGCCTGCCAGACTGAGAAGTCTAGATCTGAAAAATGGTGAAAATGTCACTGTGCCTCCTGGATGAGAAGTGGCCCCAGACTATCCCCAGCAGCCATCAGAAGCCAAGAGCACCACACTGCTGGCTGCTGTGAGCCATATGTCAGTCCTGGCATCAATGTGGTGCTCCTTGGTCAGCACAATATCCAGGGAAAATGCCACCACTGAGCTCACATACAGTGTGATTAGCACTGGTGGATAAGCAGAGTGCTGCTTTCCTGGGAATAGCCTGAACCCAGAAACCTGAAATCCTGACCCCTGCATAGATCATGCAGAAACAGTAGGTGATAGAGCTGTGCATAGAAAGCAAATGCACAAGATGTGTGTGACAGTGACTAGGGGGCCATGGCTCAACTTGATGCCTAGTCTCAGCTATATGATACATGAGAATCCTAGCTCTCCAACCTGGCATCCTGCAAAGCCAAATGAGAAATATGGGGAAGAAGCAGGCCACCACATTCTGGATAGCTTCACAGGATATGAAGGAGAGGTAGTGCAGAGGACGAGCGACTGTTAGGTAGCTGTGCAGCACAGTGGCCATGAAGGACAAGGTGGTATTGGTGTAGGTAGTGAAGACAGAGTCTGTGAGAATACCACAGATGATGTAACCCTGGGCCCAGCTGCCCAGGTTACTGGAGGAGATGAACATATGAAAGATAATGTAGGCTGGATATGGGAGCAGGATGGAAGCCAGCAGCAGCAGCTCAGAACCAGCATGGCCACAGCCAGGAGAGCCAAGGGAGGAAGAACCATCGCAGCAGGAAATGGACACCCTGAGATCCCTGGGCTCAGGGAGGTGTTGCTGGCTGCCTAGGACATGCAAGGGAGCTTGCTGATGAGATGGTCAGGCTAAACAGGCTGTTGTGTTCAGGGGTCAAGGTGCCAACTGACACCCCCATAATTCCCAGCAGGAGTGGCAGGCTTTGTCATAGGTGATTGGTTCTGCACTTGCCCCTGGTATGGATCTCATCTACAGGGGTCCTGATAGTGCCACTCCTCTGCAGAGATACTGGGCTTGGGCAGGTCTTAGGAATGACTGTTTAACAAAAATAAAAACAACAATGCAAAATCATGCTCACATGCACTCATGCACATCTCTGCTAGCTGTCCAGGCTGCATGTGTGTGTGTGAGTATACCTAAACAGATCAGTTCATTGTGATGATTTGTTGGTCACTGACCTCTTGATAAGTGTCCCCCATTTCAATTTCCCTCAAACCTGTCTGGTAAGCCAGCAGGGAGGGCACAAAACTAGTGGATTGGATTGGATCATGGGTGAGAGGCCAGAAAAGAAAGAGCAGCGTCTGGGAGCTAGAATTGCCAGGCCTAACCTCTGAATGGGGCTGCACATGACAGGAAATGAGGCCAGGATGGAGAAACCTTGGCAGGCTCATACTCTTCCTCACAGAGCCCTGGGCCACAGACCCCATGAGAGGGACAGTGTGTGTGTGTGTGTGTGTGTGTGTGTGTGTGTGTGTGTGTGTGTCCCACACCCTTCTACATGGGACTTCACATGGAAGAGTACTCAGCCATCCATGTGTGGGATCTCTGTGTGGTAGGAAGTCCCTGCCATAGTCTGGCAGATAGAAGCCCATAGAAGCTAGGCAGAGGTCCTCAAACTACGGCCCGCGGGCCACATGCAAATACAAATATTGTATTTGTTCCCGTTTTGTTTTTTTACTTCAGAGTAAGATATGTGCAGTGTTCATAGTGTTGTTTTTTTTAAACTATAGTCCGGCCCTCCAACGGTCTGAGGGACAGTGAACTGGCCCCCTGTTTAAAAAGTTTGAGGACCCCCGAGCTAGGGGAAGAGAAGGAAGTAGAAGAGAGAAGAGGATAGGAGATTCGTGTGTGTCAGCTGGGCAGCTGGGACATCTCAGGTTATCCAGAGGTGTAGACAGTTGTGTGCAATTGGTCTGGGCCCATGGTGGGAAGGCCAAAGGGATGGGACTCAGGCTTCATGCTTTGAAGGTCCTGGTTGTGTGGCCTTGAGAAGATTTGCTCACATGTATACATTTGTTTTCTTATTTGTAAATGTGAATGCTTCTCATGGGAACCTCATGGAAGTGTCGCAAAAATCCAGAGGTTTTAATCAGGTGCAGCCCATACCTCCTAACACACTCTCCAGGAGCTTCAGTACTCTCTGCTTACAGATCCCCTTGTTATCACTGCAGAAACAGCTGCACTGCTACTCCATGCCCCTGGGCCCTCCCACAGCCCACCCAAGGCCCCCCAAATTCTGCCTAGCTGGAGAGAGAACTACCATGGAGCTCGGGCCTTCCTCAGCACAGCCAGATTGTTATTAGGGTCAGAAGGAGACAGGAATTTTAGAGACTGAGTCATGAGAGGGCCAGCCTTGCATTATATATGCCACCTAGACCAGAATCAGCAGGTGACACAGTTGCCTCATCCCTCAACCATGGATCCTCTGACCACACAGTGTCACTGCCTCCCTTCTCTCTCTCAATGGTGTTATAGTCCGAAGACTTCAAAGGAACCCTATCTCTGCCTCTCATCATTAACTGTGATCTTGGCTAAATTACCTTGCCCCTATGGGCCTCCGTGGACTCACCTGGGGTCCAGGATGCGAATGTGTCTGTCCTTAAAGGCCAAAAAAAGGGGGGGGGGAGAAGGAAAGAAAAACAAAACAGTTCAGAGAGTAGAAAGGAATAAAGTAGTTTAAAAGAGAAGGAAGAAAGGAAAGAAAGAAGGAGTTTATTCTTATGTATGGTTTAAGTTGGTGGTCTAGTTTTTTTGTTTGTTTTTTTGCATGTATCTGTCCAATTATCCCAACACCATTTATTGACTAAACTGTCTTTACCCCATTGTATGTTCTTGTATCCTTTGTTAAAAATTAATTGCCCAGCCCTAGCTGGTTTGGCTCAGTGGATAGAGTGTCGGCCTGTGGACTAAAAGGTCCTGGGTCTGATTACAGCCAAGGGCACATGTCTGGGTTGTGGGCTCGAGCAGGAGGCAGCCGATCAATGATTCTCATCATTGATGTTTCTATCTCTCTCTCTCCCTCTCCCTTCCTCTCTAAAATCAATAAAAATATATATATATATTTTTAAAAAATAATTGGCCACATAGGCAGTTTATTTCTGGACTCTCTATTCTGTTCCATTGATCTATATTTCTGCTTTTATGCCAGGGTCATAAGTTTTGATTACCATAGTCTTGTAGCATAGTTTCATGTCAGGTAGCATAATACTTCCTACTTTATCCTTCTTTCTCAAATTGCTGTGGTTATTCGGGATCTTTTGTGGTTTCATATACATTTTTTTGATTATTTGTTCCAGTTCTGTGAAATATACCATTGGTATCTTGATAGGAATTGTATTGAATTTATAGATTACTTGAGTGGTATAGACATTTTTATTATGTTAATTCTTCCTATTTATGCTTCCATTTACTTTTATCTTCTTTGATATCTCCTTCAGTGTCTTAAAATTTTCTGAGTACAGGTCTTTTACTTCCTTGGTTAAATTTATTTCTAGGTACCTTATATTTTTTTTGATGCAACTGTAAATGGGATTTTTTTCAATATCCCTTCCTTATAGTTCATTATTGGTGTATAAAAATGCAACTGATTTCATAATTTTTATTTTATATTCTGCTTTCTATAAAAATATATTTTTAATTGATTTCAGAGAGGGAGAGAGAGATAGAAACATCAATGATGAGAGAGAATCATTGATTGGCTGCCTCCTGCACACACCCTACTGGAGATCGAGCCCACACCTGGGCATGTGCCCTGACCAGGAATCGAACCATGACCTCCTGGTTCATAGGTCAATACTCAACAACTGAGCCACACTGGCCGGCTGTTTCCTACTTTTTCACTGAATTCATTTATTAGGTCTAGTAGTTTTTGATGGAATCTTTAGGCTTCTCTCTATATAGCATCATGACAGTTTTACTTCTTCCTTTCCAATTTGGATGCCATTTCTTTCTTTATTTTTTTTTCTTTTTCTTTTCTCATTTACTTCTTCTTGTCTAATTGCTGTGGCTATAACTTTCAGTCCTATGTTGAATCAGAGTGGTGAAAATGAACATCCCTGTCTTGTTCCTGATCTTAAGGAAAATGCTTTTAGTTTTTCCCCACTGACTATGATGTTAGCTGTGGGTTTATCCATATGGTCTTTATTTTTATTTTTAAAAATATTTTAAATAAGTTTTTATTTTTCAATTACTCTTTATATTCACTGTTATTCTGTATTAGCTTCAGATGTGCAGCAAAGTTGTTAGAAAATTATGTACTTTGCAGCATGGTCCCCACCCCCGCTTCAAGAAGCCAACTGGTGCCATATATATTTATTTTAATACTAGTGGCCTGGTGCACGGATTTGAGGACATTGAAAGGAAATTAATTAGAAGAAATATTTTGATATCACTATTTGCTCTTTCTCTATAATAGAAGTGTCAGAGATGAAAGAAAATTAGTAAAATGTATATGAAAATAATATATAAACTGATTAATAAATAAACAAAAACAACATGTTATAACAACAAAGACACGATATAAAAACAACAAAAACATAATATAAAACAACAAAAACATGATATAAAAACAACATTGATAAAAACAATGACTGGTAAATGGATTAAACTTATTCTCATATCTCCTTGTACACCACATTAAGAGTAAAAACACTTTCAGAGTGCTTGACTAATTTCCCTTGTGATGAAGTATTTACAACTTTAACATCACACGCTCTTCGAACTGAAGAGAAAGCAACATATAACTGACCATGTCCAAAAATGGGTTCAGGTCAGAATATTCCTACTCCGTCTAGAGTTTGTCCTTGTGATTTATTAATAGTCATTGCAAATGCTGGTATCATGGGAAACTGTCTTTGAATTAATTTAAATGAGAGGCCAGTGTCAGACAGGGACAAATATCGTGCATGTGTGAGTCAACGTTTATTTTTAAACTAGAGGCCCGGTGCATGAAATTCATGCACTCGGGGGTGGGGGGGGGCCCTTAGCCCAGCCTGCGTACTCTCACAGTCTAGGAGCCCTTGGGGGGTGTCCCGCCACCACCACTGCGCTTGCCAGCTGTAAGCCTGGCTTCTGGCTGAGCACCGCTCCCTCTGTGGGAGCTCACTGACCACCCAGGGGCATCTCCTGCATTGAGTGCCTGCCCCCTGGTGGTCAGTGCGCATCATAGCGGCCTGTTGTTCCGTCGTTTGGTCGATTTGCATATTAGCCTTTTATTATATAGGATTGGTACAGTTCCAAAGTAGCTTTGAGACAGCTAATAAAAAAAGCAACAACAACAAAAAAGATGAAACAATACAGCAAATCCATTAGAAAGATGACAGGAGAGTAGGTACCAAACAAAACCATGAGAAGAAGATGGTTTCGATAGCTTTCAAAATCTCCTACAGAATGCAAAGAGACTGCTGACTGACTTTTTTTAGCTTCAGGCTCTGAACATTTCCTTTTAATATAAAAGGAAATGAACAGCACACTGGCTATTAACAACTAGGAGCCCAGTGCATGAATTCGTGCACCTTGAAAGGACTGTGGGCCGCGAGGCTGTGGTGGGCACAGGGACGGGTCTTGGCCCATCCTCCACACCCCCGCACGGCCCTTCCCACCACGGTCTCGGGTCCCCTGTCTGCCAGCAGCACTGCTCCCACCACCACTGCTCCCACATGCTGACAGTGTCGGCCCCGCTCACATCTGCTGATGGTGCAGGACTGGCACCATCAGCGGGTGTGAGCTGCGGGTGCTGCCCCAATCGCCCCTCAGGAGCAGGGGGAGGTGGAGAAGCCCTCAGGGGTGATTGGAGCCAGCAGCCTCTGCTTGTACCCACTGACAACGCTGAGCAATCGGGACTGGCACCAGGCGCCAGCTGCGAGTGCAAGCGGGGCCGCCACTGGCAGTGGGTGTGAGAGGTGGCTACTGGCCCCAATCACCCCTCAGGAGCAGGGGGAGGTGAAGAAACCCTGAGGGGCAATCGGGGC